TTTGGATTTTTATTTTTATTTTTAAAGCAATTAAATCTACCCTAGAAAGAAATAAAAACTAAACTAAGCACACCAAAGAAAATAAAAAGAAAAAGGAAAGAAAGAGTACTTGTATACACAAGAAATTCCCCCCAAACCAAACCAAACAATGTCCTCATTGGCTCAAAGAAAAAATAGTAACCCAAGAGACTATCCCTCATCATCAAACTCGTAGCCATCACCATTCCAATCATTGCAATACATCTCCTTGGTACAATTCTGGACAAAAAGGAAACAAAATGTTAGTAGAAAAAGAGGTAAAAATGAGTCAGACTCACTATTTCGTTCATAACTTTTGTTATACAAATGATAATGCAGTTACTCTAATTTCATTGAAAAGTACACTTGAAGAGCTATCCAACAATAGTTCACACGCAAAATTTCGTTAAGAAACGTTAAAGATATGGCATTTTGAAGTTGGCCCATTTTACAGTCCCGCTCCCGCGCCCGGTCGGGCGAGCTTAACTCTATTTTCGCCCTTCGTTCTCGCGCCTGGTCGGGTGAATTTTAGGCAAAAGTCCTCTTTTCTCTCGCGCCCGGTTGGGCGCCATCTCGCCTAGTCGGGCAAAATTGCTCGCATACGGACTTCTTCTCGCGTCCGGTCGGGCGCGCTACAGCAATTGGAGTCCGATTTTTCTCAATTTGTTCCTTTTTCTCCGCTTGTTCATCTTCAAATCCAAGCTCTACACAATTTAGAGCCCTTTCTACAGCATCCACTTCATCCTTCCATGTAGTGGCTTTTCCTACGGAGGATGTGACAGAAAATACCGCCTCTAAGGGATCTCTAACGTGAGCTTGGGGCTTATTAAAAAAATTATGTACATTAACCACGTCAATACTATAGCACTTTTCTTCCAACATGGGGCTTTTAGGGGCATTATGTAGATTAAAAATAATATTTTCATCCCCTACGCATAATGTAAGTTTACCACTCTTCACATCTATTATTGCCCCTGCAGTATGAAGGAATGGTCTACCCAAAATAATCGGAATTTGCAAATCTTCCTCCATGTCAAGAACAACCAAATCAGCAGGTATATAAAACCACTAGTAGAAAAAGTGAAATAGGCATCGCACTTTTCGCACCGGTTCCTGAAAACCGGTGCTATAAAGATTTTTTAAGAGAGAAAAAAAAGGGAGAAAGGGATTTCGCACAGGTTCTAACCAAACTGGTGCAAAAAATGAGTTAATCGCACCGGTTCGATTTGAACCGGTGCAAAACCTATTGTAAAATAAAAAAAACCCGGATATACTCTTTCTTTCTCTTACTTTTATTTCCTCGATCTTTCCTCCTCTCTCATCTGATCTGCCTCTCTCTCTCCTCCATTGAAGCGTACTCGAATTTCTCCATTGAAGGGGCTTCTGAGCTTTCTCTCAGCACTTTCCTCAAACTCCTTCTCTCTCCTTCGATCTCCATAACCGCCACTTTCCCTTTCATTTCTACTCTCTTTCGATCTCCTTCTCCTTCTCTCTTTCTACAATATTAGAGGTTAGGGTTTCTGGGTGCGTCTATTTTGAACCAATTCGATGTGCGTGCGTCTTCAACAACAACAAATTCGAATCAATTTCAAACCAAAAATCAGAAACTCAAGGTTAGGGTTTCTGGGTTATTTAGCTTTACGTTATATTGTAGCAGTTCTGAACTTTCTCCTCCATTGAAACAACTTCTGAGGTAATGTTTTTTAATAAATGAAGTTTTTTAATCAATGAATATCAATTTCGCTAATTATTTGTGTTAGTATAGTTAATCTAGGGTTTTACCATTGCTAAAATTGTTGTATTGGCTTGTTTATTTAGGGTTTTCAGATGTAATCGCCTTCAATTGATTGCTCGAATGTTATTACTCGATTACTCATTACTGCTCTATTTTCTTCTGCTCGAATTGCTTACAGTTGATATGAATTGCTGGATTCTCTCTTCTGCTCGATTATCTATTGAGTAATCACCCAAATAGAAAGTTTCAGGTATCAATTTTATTATTATATGCTGAGTTTTTGTTAAAACTGGAGAAATTATGTGTTAATTTGTTGATTTCTTGCGATTTGTATGTCACTTTCAGTTTTGCATGTTACATATTGCGAAATTCTTTGCATGTTAAATTCTTAGTTGTATTCTTTGATTGAACTAGTATTAGTATTATGAATTGATTGATTGATTTAAGGTTTGGAGGAATGTAGTTTTTTGGACTGCTTTCTGTAGTTGCAGTACATGTATTGAATCAAAGAAATTGATAGTAATTTTTTGTTACCTCTGCAGTCTGTCCCTCTTTGGTGTGACTGCTTAAATCCTACTCTAATAGGTACATCCTCTAAAACACCTAAAGAATATTTAAGAGAACGATCAGCCATTTGCAGAGTAATATTGGTAGCTTTTAATTCACCCATATTTAATTTAGAGCTCACAGATAATGGCATAACACTTACACTAGCAACCAAGTCACATAAAGCTTTATCAATCATCAAATTTCCAATGTGACAAGGAATAGAAAAACTACCCGGATCTTTTAGTTTAGGTGGAGACTTATTCTGTAAAATAGCACTACATTCTTTAGTAAAAGCAACTGTCTCTACCTCACTTATAGATCTTTTTCTGGTCAAGATCTTTTTCATAAATTTAGAGTATGCAGGAACTTGAGTAATTAATTCTGTGAAAGGAACTGTTACCTGCAAATTATTGACAACCTCCAGAAACTTACCAAACTGCTTATCCAACTTACTCTTAAGATGTCTATTTGGGAATGGTAGTTTGATAACTAGTTTCTGCACATCTCCACTCTTGTCTTGAGTTTTACCCTGCAATTTATTATCAGAAGAGTTAGTTTTTTTCTGGAGCCCTGCAGGGTTGGTAACAACAATATCTGGTATAACAGAATCAGGATTAGCAATTTTTGTAATGATAGGTTCATCATCTTTGGGCATAGAAGGCCCATCGTAATTTGAACCACTTCTCAGCGTAATTTCATTCACGTGATCTGTAGGTTGCACCGGCTGCGATGGTAGGGCTCCCTGCTGGCGAGCTTGCAGACTAGAAGAAAGTTGCGCAATTTGATTATTTATGATTTTATTGTGTGCTAGGATTGAGTCAATTTGCGCATCTCTAACCTGCATCTATTTCTGCATATTAACTAACTTCGTTCTGATTTCTGCCAAGCCAGAATCAGGGGGAGGAGTAACAGTCTGATGTGGTCTCTGATGTGGAGGTTGGTAGTACCTCTGTCGCGGTTATTGTACCTGCGGTGGGGGGTTAGGCACATTCGTACTGTTGTACGAAATATTCAGGTTATTTTTCGACCCTGCATTATAGGTGTTAGAGTATGGACTAGTTTGCTTATAAGCCTGAAAAGCATTAATTTTCTCAAGCGAACTGGTACATTCCTGAGCCCAATGACCTACAAGACCACAATGTTCACAATTAATTTCAGAGTTAGTACCAATAGCAGAATGTTAGCAACAGAAGATGAATTAGAATTATTAGTATTGTCTAGTTTCTGGCTAATAGTAGTCAATTGTGCTTGCAAAAAGGATATAGAGTCGACTTAGTGTTTTCCCTTATTTGCAAAACCTCTGGGATTCCCGTATTGGGAATTATGAATAGCCATCTCTTCAACAACATTGCTCGCTATATTCACATCTAAATTCATAAATCTTCCGTTGGCTGCAGAGTCCAAAATCATTCTTGAATTATATCCAATCCCGTTGTAGAAGGCTTGGATTATCTGCCACTGTGCTAGCCCATGATGAGGGCATTCTCTCTACAAATCCTTGAATCTTTCCCAAGCTTCATATAAAGATTCATCTGCTTCTTGGGAAAAAGGATTTTACTCCTTAATAAAGTTGTTCTCTCTGTAGGGTAGTATTTGTAATAACAATTCAAAACAAGAGTTTCCCTGTCAGTAATACCAAGTGCAGTTCTATTCAGTCCATTGTACCATAATTTAGCTTTACCACATAAAGAAAAGGGAAAAAGAATCTCCCTGATTTGGTCCTGCGTGACCCCAGCTTGCCTAATAGTATTGCAATATTGGCAAAAATCCAAGATGTGAAGATTTGGATCTTCACCCTTAGCTCCGCTGAATTGCTTCCTTTCGATCATGGTAATAAACAGGGGTTTAATCTCGAATTGTACTCCCTCGAGATCAGGTGTATGGGCAAGGTGTGGGAAATCTGCCAAGGACGGTTGCAAATAATCGCTAAGCTTGCGAGGTGGTTGAGCCGTCATCTCTGATTCTAGTTCTGAATAAACTTTTGTGTCACTGGAATCAGATGGGGGTTCCAAAGGTGTAATACCCTCGGAAGTAGCTCGTACCTGTCTAAAAGTTTCCTCTGTCTATGAAAAGAACGTTCAATTTCAGGGTCAAACGGAATGTAACTTGATCTAGAACTCCTGGGCATAAAAACAGAACTAAACAAACAAGTATGAGAAACTGTCCCAAAGAACTTGCGTTCTCTGAGACGAAAGAAAATAATTTAGACTACAAAAATAATCAGAAATAAAAATAAAACCGTGTCCCCGGCAACGGCGCCAATTTTGACAGGCTAAAGTCGTATCACCTAATCAAAAGTAATTCCTAAAACCACTAATTAAAATAGATAGGGAAGTAGGGTCGAATCCACAGAGAAACAGGTCTTTCTATTTCTAATTAATTAATTATAATCTAAATTATCGAGTAACCAATTTATATTATGGGAATTAAACTAACAATTAAACTAAGGGAATAATCTGTAATAAATGGCCTAGGGTATAGGTTCACCAATAAATAAAACTCCAGGGTAAAACACAACGATCAATCATCAATGCATAAATAATTAGATTATAAAGGGCTTTCGCTACGTATTATAATCACATAATTAATCTACCGGTATTAAATCGCATATCTCGAATCTTGACTTAACCATTTATAAATTAACCTGCCTATTGAAATAATTTAAGCCTAAACATCAATTCTCATCTCTTGAATCTCGAATCAATATTGCATAACTTATACAATTAAACCAGGCATAATCTAATTGCATAACATTAAATCAATCAATAGGCAGTAGTAGAAATTTTGAAATAGGCACCCTTCTTTAGCACCGGTTCTTGAAAACCGGTGCCCAAAGAAATGGGTGGGATTGGAAAATTCAGAGTTGGCACCGGTTCCAACCAAAACTGGTGCCAACTAATCTAATTAGCACCGGTTCAAACCGGTGCGAACCAAAAAAAAAAAACGAAGAAAGCAATAGAGTTGGCACCGGTTCGTCTTAAACCGGTGCCCACTTTAGTAGTTAGCACCGGTTTGAACCGGTGCCAAAAAAAAAACCGGGCTTCTCAGCTCGTATTTCTTCTTCTTCTTTTCTTTCCCCCTGATTTTTCAACTTGTTTTTTCCCTCAACTCGTTCTCACCTTCTCTTCCAGGCCACCACCTCCGAATTCCCACCTTCTCCATTGAAGCAGCTGCATGCACCTCCTTCTCTCTCCATATATCTCCTCCATTGAACTCGTGCTCTCTATTCTCCATTGAAGCGCATTCTGAGTTTTCTCACCTCCATTGAAGCAGCTTCGAGGTAAGATTTGGGCCATTGTGGTCTTCTTAATCTACCGAATTTCTTCGCAACCTAGGGTTTGTCGTTGATTTGGTTTTCAATTTTGTAATTTTAGGGTTCTGGTTTTATTTCTATTTTTTGTCAAACAAAATAAGTAGGAGAAGGAGAGAGTAGGTCCTACCCGCCGCCACTCACCCTTCGCCGGCCACCCTCCGTTCCCCTCAGTCGTCCTTCGTGCGTCGGCTACCGACCACCAGGTAATTTTTCTAATATTTTTCCTTAACACTAGATATCAGTTATCACCTGATATTTCTGAGCAATAATTATTATCAAAACTTGAGAGATTTTTTAACATTTTTGGGTAAAATTTCGTCTTTGAATTGATATAATAAATTATCGTAGTCGGTCGATATAATCATGCAAGGTAGAAAACCCAATTTGTTTGCCGAATTATTCAAATTTTGAGCGTTTATTAGAGTCGATTGATATAATCAATGAATCCTGCTAACACTGTTTTTTGTTGTTTTCTCTAAATTTTTTTCAATTTTTTGTTGCGATTTATAGTTTTTGGATTAGATATGTTTATTTTCTTGCTAATTCTGTATTAAATTGTTGTTTATATTTACGATTTTATTGTGATTTTTATTGCAATTTTCTGGCAATGTTTAGTTGACTAAGACGGACAGACATTGATGCAGGTAGATGAATGGTGAGTTTTTTTTTTTTGTGTGTGTGTGTGTTGGGGGAGAGGGGGTTACACCTTGTTTTGATCATTTTCTGCGCAAAAATTGTAGAGCAGTTCATAAAATGAACCATTAGGTGGTTTTTAAATATGCTTCACAATTTAGAATTCTGGACAGTTCATAATTTTGTAGCTTAAGCCTTTAACACTTCACAAACAAAATGCCTAAAGCCTTTATCACTCACTCTGTCAGACCTCAAGTCTCAATAAATCTCAATATATAACACATTGTTCTTCAAATTTTAATGCCTTCTTTTTTCCTCAAATTAACCCTCATATAGGATATTTGTAAGCTAAAAATGTGTATTGATCAAGTTTATCTGCTTAGTATGATGATTTGAAGGTGTTGAGGCCTCTTTTTATTCCTCAAAAAATGTTCTAGTTTATAATTATTTTAATATGTTTACGCTAATAAGTCTAGAAAAGGGCTGGTAAGTTCAATTATAACTAAAAGTAAGTTTATGTTAGGGCCAATAAGTTGGTTAGTTTACATCAGATATGACTGGAGTTTCTAGGTGAAAAATACATAGCCTGAAAATTCTATCAGTTTTTGTTGATATATGAAGAAATGGCTCATGTTATAAATAGATAAACTTGTGCGTGAGAGGAAATTAGTTGGTGATGTGGACTCGTCTCTTGAGAAAAATAGAGAACACATGAGAAATTGTTGACCTCATTTATTCAACAGTAAGTATGCATGATATGCCTTCTATGTATGTGGGTGAGAATCGGGTAGTATATTAATGGTTTTCATCATCTGTATATAATAGATGCGAATGTGGCTGGACTACATTGACGGAGACTGTACAGTTTACTTTGTCAGATCTATCATTTTATAATCTATGAAGATTGATTTACTGCTGATTTTTTGAATTTAATTGTGATTTTACTGTTGCTATGCTTGTCAAGAGACATGGTGATGGATTGCTACCTATTGATGACTACAACATTGAGCTTGAGGATCAAAGAGGGCAGAAGCTTAATATGGGTTCTGACAGATCAAAGGTATGTGTTTGCTGATTGCAAGCTACTGTATGCACCATCTAGAAGTCTCTCTTTAGTTTCAATTGTTGAGAAGCAACGCATGTGCGGAATTGCCTTATATTTTGTATATGATAGGGAAATAATGATGGGTCTTTGCTGCATACAAAGGGAAGCAGCTAATGGGGGCATTAGGGGGGGGGGGGGGGGGGTTGTTAAGCAAGGAGACATGTAAAAGCCGGTGCACTACTTTTCTAATTTAAGTTTGCATGCAAGCTTTTAAGCTTTATATTGTGGAATGTATGGAGTGCTATCCATGCATAATTCCAAGGCTATCCTGGTCATATTCAGGACCACGAAACTCAGAAGATGTTACCCTCAGTTTTGAACAATAAGGATTATATATCATCGATGTAAAAAGTAAATATACTAACTGTCTAGTTGATTAAGCTATCATTGGTGTAGGATATCCTGTTTAGAAGGAAACAGAATGCTAATGAGACACTCATGCTTGTCCCTCAAATGAAATGTATTGTTGGCTCTGCAACTTAGATTGCCTATGATCCGCTCACTAATCTTAGCTCTTAAGACTGCAAGAATATGAGGTAAGAAAGGGTGCACAAACTTGCATTTGTCCATTTGAAATGCATGTACTTTCTATATGGGAACTGCACATGATTACTAGGGTTCTACATTGCTAATTAGCAAGAGTGTGTTCCCCAAGTCTGTCAGCCTCCTGTTGATAGAACCCACTGTATGGCAAGTTAAGTATCATTTTTTACCTTTATAAATTCCAATGTCTTTATAAAATTATTTGAGTGAATCGACAGAGGACTAGCATAGCCTATTCTCTAAATCTTATCTCATACAATTTCATATTTCCTCCATTCCTCAATTGATGCATCTCTTTCCTTTTTGGGATGTTTTACAATAGATGCATCCCTTTTCCTTTTAGTAAAAAATTATGTGTAAAATTTTTGCCCTCAACTTAAGTGAGGACCAACTCCATTTTTACTTTACATGCTATGGCTAAAGGTTAACACATAAGCAATTATGTTAATTTCCCTACTCTGTCTCTCCTTTCTATTGGTTTGTGTGCCAACTCTCAAGGATGCATCAATTGAGAAACTAAGGAAGTAGTTTATTATCTTTCTGGCAAAAAGGGGATGGCTACCCTAAAGTCCCAAACACGAATAGGCTATTATAGGGCTTATAAACTTTGGTATAGCCTTGATTATCAATATATCATGTTAGAGACTAGAAAGGTGATGCAAGGCACAATTTTATGTTTCATTTTTTTTTTTGGCTTGTATCTGTACACCATTCTGCTAATGTTCGTTGAGTTGTCCTTTAATTTTAGCATTACCATTGTTTGCTCCCCATTTGACTGTTACTCTTTGCTGTAGTCTTATCTTGTGTTTTGACTGTATGATTCACAAGACTGATGTATGTGTAGTGCAAAGCATTTGCCGGCAGAGACAAAACTGGAACACGATGAAGCTTTACTATCCCAAGAGGCTGATGCTGATTATGTCATAGAAGTTTCAGGTGCGATCAACAGTAATGCAGCATTTTATAGGTTAGTTTCATGACTTTTGTCATTCTGTGTTTCAACTGATTGCCCAACTAGCTGAAGCAAAAGTTAATGATTATAATAGTGGTTATCAGGGGTATGATAGTAGTAATTGGTATAATGGTGCCTCAGTTGAGGAAATGGCAGAAACAGGGCAGAAACACAGCCAGTAGAGCAGCCACCAGCACAAGACCAAGACATCTAGTTAAATGAAATGCAAGAAAGGTCGATCAGAGATAAGTCTAGATTATTTAATTTTTTTTGGACAAAAATTGTAATATTATAGCCTTTTTTAATGAATATATTTAACTTTATATATATGTTAATGTTTCTATATCAATTTAAGTGAAAAAAATGCAAATTTTTTTTATTTTATTTTTTTGGGGTATTTTTTGCACCGGTTTTGACCGGAACCGGTGCCTAAAGTGGGGTTTTTTGCACCGGTTCTTGCTTTGAACCGGTGCCAACAGTATTGAATAAAAAAAAAACCGCCATGGTAGTTGGCACCGGTTAACCGGTGCCAAAGCATGTAGTTGGCACCAGTTAACCGGTGCCAAATCATGTAGTTAGCACCGGTTAACCGGTGCTAAATGCTTTAGTTGGCACCGGTTTTGAACCGGTGCCAAATTTTCATGGATTTGGCATCCCTCAAATACCCAACGGTTCAAAACCGGTGCCAAAGGGGGGGGGTTTGAACCGGTGCCTTTTTATCTTTTTCGTCTAGTGAGGAAATTTATCTGAAACATCAACAATCAACAATAATAAATTACCCCTTCATATTATTTATGGATCCCCACAACCCTAGAAAATAAACTACTCACACATTAAAATCTAAACTAAGCAAAACAATTAAACAAAGCATATTAAATCAAAGCAATTAAATTACTGAAAATAAAGGGGGAAGAAATCGTTACCAAAGTGAACGGAAGTAAAGAATTGCATAAACTAAAAGTGTCGAGAGGGATCAAGAGTATTAATTAAAAGCTTAAAACTAAAACTAAGGAATTAAACTCATGGAAGAAGGTGCTCAAATATCGCTTTAAAAAGCGTATTTATACTTAAGCTCAAAAATCCTAATTAAAGAAGAAATAAAATTGCCGAAATTCCTATTGAAAACACGCGCCCGATCGGGCAAGGCTTTGTCCAGGCGCACCTTTTTCTTCTTTTAATCTTCGCTCGCGCCTGGTCGGGCACGAGATAGGGCGAAGCTTTGCCCTCTCCTTTATACCTCGCCCGGCCGGGCGCGCCTCAGGGCGAAGCCTACCCGGTCAGGTGAATGGAACCTCCACTTGGGCTATTCAATTGGGCTATTTTCTTAGCCCGAACGAATTTCCTCTTAAGTCTTGAAACACAGTCCATTGCCTCGAGCTCTTCTTTTCTTCACAGAGCCCTTAATCATCGGTTTGATTTCTCTAACGCTGTCTTGGGCTTCGGAATGTGGTCATAGTAGTGCGTTCCTACTCCAATGCTCGTAGTGGCTCCAATAAGACTGGGGAAATGCTCCAAATCCGCAGTTTCCTGTAAAACAATACCACAACTACGGAAACGCTAGAAAACGCACATTAGTAATAAAAGTGGCTCCATAGAGCTCATATAAACACAATTATGACCATTGGGACGGGGAATAAATATATATAAAATAGACTTATCAACTTCAAATAGTCAGCACTCTTGAGTACTAGACATAGAAGCCCTGGTTCGAGAAGATCGACCCTTTTTTCCTTCATTTTGCCGAAGAAGACGCAGCTGCAACTATCGTCGCTGCGGTCTCCCGAAGCGGAGCTGAGCCTTCTACCTCCATTGCTGGGCCGAGGGTAGAAGTAGCCGAACAAGAGGAAGATTCTAAAGACTAGCGTCTGCTGAAGACTTCGGTGAGACTTCAAGACTTGTCTAAGTTTCTTTTCTTTTTCTCTTTTCCTTTTGCCTTACTCATTTTACTTAGCTTTTTCTTCGAATTTTCATGAATTTTTTGCTAAGTATTGAGCTTCGACTTGGTTTTTTTTGGTTTTTTTTATGCTTATACTGCTCTTTGCCCCCCTATTCCTTCTGCTGCAGTTTGACGAAGAAGAAGAGAATAGAGGATAGCCAGCTGAAGCAAATCCCTCTCCTGAAAGTTCATCAGACAAAGGAATGACAAGCCCGAAGAGAAAGAGGCAAGTTCTTCATCCTGGGCAGTTTCGGGCTGCCCCTCTTTTAGTTAAAAAGCCTCGTCTTGAGGAGGACAAGCAAGAGGAACAGAAAGAGATGACTCCTCTTCCTGCCGAAGTCCACACCGAGGAGGAAATTTTGAAGAACACCCCTCCTTCTGCCCCTCGTCATGTAGCCGAACCCTTTTTTGACGAGGTTCAAAGGGAGGTCGACGCACTGCTCGTCAATCTTGAGGACGAAGTGCAGATTTTGAGTGGAGATGGTCCGAAGGAGACCGTGTTTAAAAAGAAGGCTGAGGAAGCCAGAAATACTAAAGCGCCTTCTACCTCGGCTGCTGAGTTCTTCAAGACTTTCCAGTCTGCCGAGATGGGGTTCGGCTCTGCCCCTCTGGTTCCTGTACCCGAGCATGCTCGGAACATATTTGAATCTAATATGTTATAAGGTTATAAGGTTGTTGAACAACTCTAAAAGAGTAGGTGAATAAATATAAGAGTTCTCCCAAATGGTAGCATTGCTACGTATAATGTCCTTTATAGAATATAATCATTTTCATACCTCGAGGTTAAATAATTAACATCCATAACTTCAGCATAACATGTGAAAATATCTTCAACGTTCAACAAGTCGAAAGTCCTCAATATTTCTATAGAATCATAAATTTTCAAGACTCTAATGATTTATTAAATTAATATGCTCAATCCTCCATCTCAGAATAAATACTCATGGTCATCATGAATTATAAATTATTAAGTTCACAATCAAACTCCAACTGTTTCGAATTGAGTATCCCTTAGCTTATATAATAACTTTCATCATTACTCATCTCTATACAATTCTTATGCTTATTTCTCATGGGCTCTTGTTCAATCTCGATCCCAAATCAAACTCGTGCTCAAAGACAAAACATATTCCTCAAAATGGATATAAAATCAAAAAATTTCCCAATTACAAGCTCTTTAACCATTAGTATCGATCTCTTTATTCTTATACTTTGCTGTCTCAATAGACAAATGAACAAAACTAAAGTACGCACTCTTAATAACTAGACAAGGTGTCGCAACAACAAACTATCCCAAAATACAATACTCACAACTATGTGATAGTGTGCATCCCATACTTACATAGGAAATTGATTCTCATAATCCTTTAACATTCCTCAAAATTCTCATCAAAGAAACTCACTAGGTTTAACTTCAAGGATCTTGCAAGATAACGAGCTTAACTATACACTAGAAAAGCCTTTCCAAAACAATATAATACAGTTCTTACAGAAAATTAAGTTTGGTGTTCAATCATACAATCTTGATAGCTCACATATAATAATACTTCACATAATGCATGCTTTCATCACTAAACACTTAGTCATACAACATGCTCGAACACCTTATAAAAAAAAATATATATGCACATAGGATAGAAATTAAATTCTAGCCTATATGCCCTTCCTTCTCCTACCCAATCTCACCACATACTTTTAAAGCGATTAACACATAATAACATACCTTAATCCTTGCTTTCCTGCAAAATGAACAAACTAAAAATATTTTTTACTCCTCTTTTAAAATTAATTTTCAAAAATAAGCCCCGAAAAAGACCAAAATATTCAGCCGCTTAAAAAAAATTCGGACATCCTAAGCAAAAAAAATCGGATTTTTTTTTTCCAAAAATAAATTTTTGGGTTTCTCAAAAAAATGAATAAATAAATTTTCCGGTTTCTATAAAAAAAAATTAATAATGAAAATAACTCTCTTTAAAATAACTTAATTAAATAAGCACTTGGCCAAGTTTAAAACAAAACACTTTAAAACACGTTTTTGGTTTTAGTGGTAATAAAAATCTCAACCAAAGCTCCCTGATACCACTTTGTAACACCCTAGAAATTCCTTTCCCAAAAATACTTGTTTTGCCCTTTTTAAAATACGAAAAAATAAAATCTAACACATTACCGCCACCGTGAAAACGGCTAAGGCAAATATCAAAGACACACAGCGGAAGACCAACTTTCAAACACTCGAATGAAATAAAGTTTAATAAAATCAACTCAAATTTTTAAAACCAACTTACACTAAAACAATAACTTGGAACCATTAAAGGCCCTTTAAAACCAAAGTAAATATAAACATTAAATAATGTTAGTGTCAACAATTACATAAATAATTCAGTACAATAAATAATAAACAAATAAACATGTAACCCTCTTCGCCCAACCCCATCATGCTTGATATGCTTCATCACCTGAAAGCTTCTCTCTACTTGTCCCCACTACTCGCCATTAGAAACGGGTCATCGTAGGGCCAAGGTAAAGACAAGGCCAAACAAACATGCAAGCACACAATCAACAATGCTGATTACATAAGCATTGCTTACCAAGTTGCACCTGTTACAAGCATACAACATACAAAACAACTAACCAACAAACAAATAAATTGCTTATTAAATTTGATTATGCATTGAACAGGTTTCCCACCAAATCCCTGCCTCATATAAATTGAGGTAAACTACATCGGAAGCTAACCGGGTAGGCAAATGTCACATGAAGTGACTGGACGTCTTGCGCATAAAATAAATAAAAAGGAAAATACAGCGTCCTGTACTCCCAGTAGAAGTTATGGTCAAATATAAAGTCGCATAACTCCCCCCATATGTTCATACTCAAGGTATATACGTTCCACGAGTTTTGGTGCGTAATCTCTTTCACTTTACGTTATTTACATATTAATACACTTGGTGATGAATCTCAAACACAACACAGCCAAACATTACAATTCATTAAAGCAATCAAACAAACCAATTTAATTCTTGAATAATTAGTGACCTCATAAATTTAATTGTTGAAACCTTTTTAAACTACCTTAAACGCATAATATGCCGCAAATCCTATCCCTCGGTGTTAGAAACACCTTAAACGCATAATATGCCGCAAATCCTATCCCTCGGTATTATAAACACCTTAAGTGTTCCTGTGTACTAAGACACTTAAATAGCTTCTTCCTCATGCTTATAGCATCAATAAAAATTATATGAACCATCATAAAATTTCCTTTTCATATTCCAAACCAAATTAAACATTTAGTTTAACTAAACATGCTCTCTAACATGTCAATAATAAAAGTGTGGTTCATATCCTACATGCCAATATAATTAATTCCAATCACCAGTTCATCATAAATATTTCTTACATCACAAATCATTCACCAACATCAATCCAATCAACAAATTCCATCTAACACCTATTATGATACTACTTGGAATTAATTAAACAAAGCCTACCATGCTTCTATACACTTAAACCATTACCAAGAACGCGAACGTACCTTAAATCATCTTTTCAACTAGCCACAATGCTAGAAATTACTCAACTTAAAGTCTCCTACAATACCAAATACATAATCTCAATTACTCCCTTGATTACACAAATTTCCAGCAACTTTTAAACACTTTAAACCCACTCTAATAAGCTGAAATTTTGGTTTAAAACCTTTAAAACTCTTTTAGTGGGTAAATAAAACCACAAAGTAAAAACTCATTCATGGTGTTTATATAAAAATTCCTGCACACTTTTTAAGGTTTAAACCCCTCAAATAAATCTGAAAATTATATTAAAACCAATTAAAGCCTTCTCTACTTATGGGTAATCAACCCCTTTTTATTAAACCACAAAAGCAGTGCTTAAAATAAAATTCAAGCAATATTAATTTATTAAAAACTCATCAAAACTCCATAAAAATATAGTCTTTAAGCTTTATTATCACTTACAATCAATAGGTATATAAATCCCCCAAATCAATTGTAAGTTAGAACCCTAAAAATCAATACTTTAATAATTAAAACCCTAACTTTTAATACTTTATAAAAATCATAATTTAAAATCATACAAAATCTGAAATTTATACTCTTTAGTTGTCAAAACACAATAATATATACCATATACTAATATAATTTATCAATCAAAAATCAAAACTCAAAAACAAATAATTACATAAACAATAATTTAAAACAAGGAGGAAAGACGAACCATCATGGTGGCTGGCCGCGGGTCGCTGGCAGTGGCTGGGCGGCCGGAGGTGGCCGACGTCGGCTGGCGTGAGGTGGCTGCCTTGGCTAACGTGGCAACAAGGTGAGAAAAGGGAAAGTTCCTTACTCCCATGTGTGAGCTCACGCATGGAACCAAGGAGCAGTGGTAAGTGCATAATATACCATATTTTTAGCCCCTAATATTAGTCTTATAAGTGTCTTTTTAGTTATTATTTTAGAATTTTAACTAACTTTTATTATTTTAGTTGTATATTTATCTTTTATTAATTTTATTATTAAGTTAGTATAATATTACTTAATACGTTTATTTTGTTAATTAGGAATTGGAGACCCAATTTGACCAACACGTGAGATGATATATATAACAAGAAGAAATAAAAGAAAATAAAGGATGACGTGGCAAATATGCAAGCCAGCAAATATACAAGCCAGCAGTTCACAACACAAGCAAAGAAAAGAAAAAAGGAAAGAACATCACGTGAAGAGTTAGAGATAAGAAGGAAAAGCAAATAAGATAAGAAATCCTCAAGTACTCCGTCAATACCGAGGTCACAAAAACAAACTTCATCTTCATCTTCAGCCATAATCCAAGATTCTAGCTTCAACTTCCTCTCTGAAATTTAAGCAAAAGATGAAGATCTATCCTATACTACAATTTTATCCCTTCAAATCCAGAAAACCTATGTTGTTTTCAATTATAAAAATTCTTAATCACCCCTCCCAAAAACACACAAGTTTTACCACAAAAAAAAATTATACAAGAAGTTCGTGAGGCTTAGTAGAGCACGAATTGGTCCAGGGTTGATCGATTGGGTGGTACTGGAAGGAGAAGGGACGAATTTGACGACGAGTTCGAGCAGCGGCTGTTTAATTCTTTGCTCAGTTCATAAGTTCTCCTTAATTTACCCTTAATCTTTTAATTTTGTGATTAATTTGTTTGCTTCTACTTGGTGAATTGGATATAATTTGATCTTTAATTTCCTGATTTATGTTTCGTCGTTTAAACGCTGAGTATAATCATATTTCAATATTCAAGTTTGATATTTAATTGATTCACATGATTCTTTCCTTGTTTTTATATGAACGTTTAATTCATTTATACTTGTAATAGTACATGATTGCTAGTATAAAGTAATTAGACTATGCTAAATTATTACTTGATGCGGTGTTAATTGATAACTTAGAGTGAATGACTCGATATTACTAGTTTGAGCGGCTCAATCGTAGTTTTATTGAGTTTGTGGGTTGGTCTAATAAATCAAGTTTATTGGGGTAGAAAGTGTATTAGCAAGATTCTAATTTCTAGTGAGCTATATATGTCAAATTGATCGTGGCGGTAATTTGACTACCTAAGTATTAAGTTGAATATTGAAGGAGACTATATGAAAGGAAGTTGGGAAATAAGTTATGTCATTTTAATCTATGATCTAATTGGTGTCACATTGGTGGTTTGCTTGTCGTCTTGTAAATAATAGATTAGTATATTTTCTTATCTTGTTTGGCTTAGTTACTCGTTCGATTTAACCCCCCAATTTCATGTACATAGTGTGAATAATACTTTATTATGTCTATGGTTTATTTTTTGAGTTAGACTTTAAGTTTTAAGAGTTGATTACACTAGTAGAAAAAATGAAATAGGCACCCCCCCTTTAGCACCGGTTCTTGAAAACCGGTGCCAAAAGAAATGGGCGGGATTGAAAAATTCGGAGTTGGCACCGGTTCCAACCAAAACCGGTGCCAATCATTTAATTAGCACCGGTTCAATCCGGTGCCAACTTATTTTAAAAAAACAATAAGTATGACATAGAGTTGGCACCGGTTCGCCTTAAACCGGTGCCAACTATGTTAGTTAGCACCGGTTTAAACCGGTGCCATATTTGAGAAAAAAAAAACCCGGGTTAGGTTATTCGTGCGTTTTAATTTTTCAATTCCTTTTCCTCTGTAACTTGCTTCTCCTTTCTCCTTCTACCTTTCCCCATTTCCCTCTTGACTCCACTACTTCAACCACTACGCACCCCTTTCCACCGCCACCACACTATATCTTCATTCTTCACGGCATCAAGGCGATGTGACGGTGGTCGCAATTGGTTGTTGGATTTTTAGAGTTTCAGGTGGCAATTTGGTAAAGTTTTTGTTATTTTAGTTTTGAAATTAGGGCTTTGGTTTATTGTGGTTATGGGTATCCGATTTTTAGTTGTTTTTAGATGGATTTTTGGTTGTTTTTAGATGGATTTGTCGTGGGATGCAATTCCTTGGTATTTTTGTTGTGGTTTTGAATACCTGATTGGTTGAACTCTTCAATCTGGTCCATGCCTCCTCCTCCTTCGTTTGCTACCACCATCTCTCTCCTCCGCCCATCCTCCGCCCTCCGTCGCCGGTTCGACCTCCATCCCCACCTCCTCCACCGCCGGACTCCAATGGCACTTCCACTTCCTCTACTTCTCCTTCTCCTTCTCCTACCCCCGAGGAGATCTCTCACCATGCTCAGCTCTCACTCGAGGTTCCTCTCTCTCTTCTTTCTTTTTCAATTCAATTCATCACCAACAACTCCTAACCTAACCTAATTTGTTGAATTTGTAAAGCTGTCGAAGAAGATCATCAACATAAGAGAAATCAGGAGGTTAGCATCCATGGGTCTTCCTGATGCTCCTGCCATCCGCTCTACTGTCTGGAAGGTTTCTGTCTCGCTTTCTATTCATTTCATACTTTGAGTTGATTACTTACATAATCGGAATTGAAATACCAAAAAATATAAATTTCAATTGCAATTGGCAGCTTCTGCTAGGGTATTTGCCCAGTGATCGAGCAATGTGGCCCTCTGAATTAGCCAACAAGAGGTCTCAATACAACCATTTCAAGGATGACCTCTTGATGTCTCCCGTATGTCCTCTTCTCTCTTTTCTTTTTTCTTTTTCTTTTTTTTTTGTCTTTGTTTCCTTTCACTTTCGATTTTGCTTCGCGCTTCTTTCATGTTAATTATTAGTTTAATGATCAAATTTAGGGTGCATCAAAAACCACCTCTAATAGAACCTCTTAACACATTATGTTTCTGAAATTTTGTCTACCGTTTACCCAATTGTAGATAGTAGATATAGTCTCATAAGAGGAATCGCGGTGATGTTGTATTATGATATTATATGCATATATGGCTTTCTGTTGAGGTTGAGCATATGATATTAGGATCACTGTTCTAATGCTTTAGGTGATTCTAGTTTCTATGTTAATCAAGCAGAAAAGTATACGCAACTTGTTGCTAAGCATTTTTAAGTTTGTGTTATGTTGTTATTGATTGACTGCTGTCTTATTTATGCGCCCTCAACCATTTCTTGAGGCTCTTGGGAGAATAAGTTAAGTGGCCTAATATTGTAATGTCAGGTTCTTACTGAAAAAGCTTATCTTGTGGGTGTGGAGCAAAAAGGTATTAAAGTGGATTCTTTTGGAATAGAAGAATCTCTGAAAGAATTGGCTCAACTAGCTGACACAGCAGGTCTTCAGGTTGTTGGCTCTACTTATCAAAAGTGAGTATGTCGTGGGTTTTTCTATTGCATAATGTGGTTACGCTATAAGTTGCAATGTGCATATACTTAAGACAGTACAATAAGCTACTTGGTGATTTATATTATCTGTGCATGCCCTAAATCTTCCAGTTAACATGTAATATATCTCTGTCACTCTGTGTGTGACTGTGAAAGTTGGGGAAGGGTTGGAGAATTGAATGGGGGAGTGTCGCTTAAAACGATAATGTAACTCTTTTAATTAGAGCTTAAGGGGTTTCAGTGAGTTGATTTTGTATCTGTTGTAATTCAATTCTTTGCAAGTGAAAAGCACTTGTAACTTAAGGCATGTTATGTGTCATCTGGGAACATGGCCTCCAAAGCAGCTACAATTCAATTAAAAGCTTTAGTACCTCCGTTTTAACTTGTTAAGATAGAGATTGTTAAACAAAACTCAGATTACTTTACCAAGTGTGTATTGACTTATGAGTTTTTGTCATATAGTTTACATATGTCTTCTATCAAATACATTTCTCCTTTATTTTTGCTTTGAACCGGTGCCAAATTTTCATGGATTTGGCATCCCTCAAATACCCAACGGTTCAAAACCGGTGCCAAGGGGGGGTTTGAACCGGTGCCTTTTTATCTTTTTCGTATAGTGTTAATCTCCTCGAGGGATCGAACCTTACTTACTATTTTTACTAGTTGTTAATATTTTTGGAGGATAAGTTAGGTAAATAAATAATTAATTTTATACAGTAAATGACACGTATCAAGCAACAAAGAAAGAAAGAAGAAATAAGAAAAAGGAGAAAAGAAAAGAAAAGAAAAGAAGGAAAAAAATAAAGAAAAAGAAATTAAGGGAAAAGAAAGAAAAGCTTACTTACCCCCAAAAATCTGATTTTTGATCTCTTGTGTGGGAAAATTTTGGGGTTTTAGGGGATATTTATAGAGTAAAGAGTAGAGATTGGGTTTGGGCTTAATAAATAAATGGACTTTAGTCATAAAATATTTGACCCACAAAGGTTCAAATAAAAGAATTGGGCTTATTTAAATGAAATGGGTTGGTCCACTAGGAGTATGTAAGGATTTTATACATACTATTATTTAAACAAGCCCAAACAATTAATAAACGTTTAGCCCAAAATATATTTTACTTTTTATAAAACTCAATAATTTAAATACTTTAGCCCTTTAAATATTTAATTAAAATACTTGAACACTTAAAAATATATTTTATTAATTAATTAAATAATTTATAAAAATACGGAGTATTACACCTGGCCGCCGCAATCCCCCAGCCCCTCCCTAAACCCAAACTTGATACTGTGGGTTTAATGGTTAGATTTAGGGTTTGGGCTTGGTCGGCGACGGTGTCGGGGTAAGGGTGTCGCCGATCTGATGCCAAGGAGTTCGTTTCAGGGAGGGGAAGGGGAGAGGTTGGGCCGGGTTTTGGTTTCAGGGATGGTTGGGGGTCGCCGGTGAAAGGGAGAGGGTGGAAGGGGAATGCCCTTTTAAAAATACCTAAGACATTACCGCCACCGTGAAAACAGCTAAGGCAAATATCAAAGACACACAGTGGAAGACTACTTTTAAAAACCATTTAAAACAAGTCAACTTCTTAAAAAGTCAAACAAAGAAAATAAAGTCAAACTAAGTCAACCAAAGTCAACCTACAACTTGGTACCATTGTAGGCCCTTAAAACCAAACCAATATTTTAAAACTTTCGCGTTAGTCTCGTCAACAGAATAAATATAATATTTAAACCAATTGAACACATCACATTCCTATAGGAAACTAAGCATGATTCACTCTTCGCTCATCCCCATTATGCAAATGCTTCATCACCTGAAAAACTCCTCTCTACTTGTCCCCACTACTCGCCATTAGGAATGGGTCGTCGTAGGGCCAAGGTAAAGACAAGGCCAAACAAACATGCAAACACACAATCAGCAATGCTGAGTACATAAGCGTAATAAAACACACTAACACGCTTTCATCCTATCAACACACAACTTACCTTATTGCACCTGTTCACAAGCGTACAAGACACTCAACACCTAACTAGACAAATACTAATGTTCGTTTAATTTGATTACGCATCGAACGAGTTTCTAACCAACTACTTGCCTCAATAAATTGAGGTAAACTACACCGGGAGCTAACCGGGTAAGCAAATGTCACATGAAGTCACTGGACGTCCTGCGCATAATAAATAATAAAAAGGAAAATACAGCGTCCTGTACTCCTAGTAGAAGTTATGGTCAAATAAAAAGTCGCATAACTCCCCCCATATGTTCATACTCAAGGTATATACGTTCCCAGAGTTTTGGTGCGTAATCTTTTTCACTTTACGTTATGTATAAATTATTAGACTGGGTGATGACTCTCAAACACAACACAAATCAAACATTACAACTCATTCAAGCAATCAAACATACCAATTTAATTCTTGAATAGTTAGTGACCGCATAAATTTAATGTTAACCCTTTTTAAACTTCCTCGGTGTTAAATAACACCTTAAGTGCATAAGGCACCGCAAATCATATCCCTCGGTGTTAGAAACACCTTACGTGCACATAGGCGCCGGAATATAATTTATTCCAGTGTACTAAGACACTTACATAGCTTCTTCTTCATACTTATAGCATTAGTAAAAATTATATGAACCATCATAAAATTCCCTTTTTATATTATATTTCAAACCAAATTAAACATTTATTTTAATTAAACATGCTCTCTAACATGACAACAATAAAAGTGTGGTTCATATCCAACATGCCTATATAATTAATTCCAATAACCAATTCATCATGAACAATTCATACATCACAAATCATTCACCAACATCAATCCAATCAACACATTCCATCCAACACCTATCATGATACTACTTGGAATTAATTAAACAAAGCCTAGCATGCTTCAATACACTTAAGCATTACCAAGTACGTGAAAGTACCTTGAATATGATCTGAAAATCGCCACGAATAAATAAAATCACTCTCTTGAAAGTATCCTGCAAACCAAAATAATAAACAAGTATTAATACCTCTTTCACATAAATTTCCAGCAATATATCACTCTTTAAATCACTCATAAACCCTAGGCATATGTGGGTATTTATACCCCCTCTCAATATCCCTCCTTACTTAAAATTCTTTTACTATCCTTAATGATCCCTTTCCTAATCAAACTTGTATTTTGACTTTCCATAAATACCATTGACTTTAAAAATTATCTTTGTAAAATAATATGCCCCAATATCTTTAAATCATGAAATAAAACATTTTCAAGATTATTTAATAATTAAAATATACCTTAATCAAAATCATTCTTTTTAAATTCATGAAAACCCTAAATAATTCATTTCAAATTATTTAAATATTTTAAGAAATACTCTATTTAAATTAGAAATACGTATAAATACAGGGTATTACAATCTACCCCCCCCCCTCTAAAAGAAGTTTTGTCCCGAAACTTTGGCAACGAAATTCAAACTTTTTTCTCACTTTGTGTAATATTGCTGTACTCTTTTGGCATACTTCTGCCTTTAACATCTCTTTGAGATCAAAATTACTCAAGATAACTGTTAAAAATGTGCAAAAAGCACAAAAATAACTGAAAATAAAGGAAAAAAGCGCGAAATTCTACCGCATTCTACCCCCCTTAAAGAGCACGAGTTACGTCCCCGTAACTCAACATACCTCAAACAACTCGGGATACTTCTTTTCCATCTCATCCTCGGCTTCCCAAGTTGCTTCTTCATACTCTTGGTTAGACCATAGCACTTTCACAATATTAACTTCCTTATTGCGTGTACTACGCACTTTACTGTCAAGGATCTTGACAGGTTTTTCTTCATAAGTTAAGCTTTGATCTAGCTCAATAGTTTCAGGTTGTAGCACATGTGACTTATCAGGGATATACCTTCTTAACTGAGATACATGAAATACACCAACTTTACTTAGCTCCATAGGTAAGGCTAGCTTGTAAGCTACTTTGCCTACCCTTTTCAATACTTCATATGGACCAATATACTTTGGTTTAAGCTTTCCTTTCTTTCCAAATCTCATTACACCTTTCATTGGTGACACCTTTAATAAAACTTTGTCACCAACCTAAAATTCCCCCTCTTTACGCTTCAAATTCGCGTAACTCTTTTGGCGATCTTGCGCCGCCTGAATCTTAACTTGAATTTCCTTTACTTGCTTTGCTTAACTGTATCCTCGATCATTTGATGCCCTAAAATCATCGATTCACTTATGTTGTTCCAACAGATTGGACTACGACACTTCCTTCCATATAATGCCTCAAATGGAGCCATGCCAATACTTGCATGGTAGCTATTATTATAGGAGAATTCAATTAAATCCAAGCTATCTTCCCAATAAGAAAAAGAGCACTACAATCGGAGGTTATTTTCATCAGTAACCTTTAGGGTTCGTTGTGTATATTGGTATAGTAATTGTACCAACAAGATATATAAATATATCAATAAAATTGTTGGTATTTGTGGACCTTATATTGAATTAATCACTATACCAACATGAGGTCTAAATATACAATATAATTTTGCTATTTTCATTCACGAATCATGACCGATGACTATAGTAATTATTGGCGTGACTTCTTCATAGTGAGCTTAGATAAGCAGCAAAAATCTTAACAAACAAAGCTTTAAAATTGGAACATCCTATTTTAACGCATAGAATAAAACCACTAACAACAACCAGCAACTAACTTTGAACTAATCGTCATTCAACATTTTCCATCGCATCACTATATATGTATAAATTTCCCTTCACAAAACCAAAAAAATATATTTCGCTTGTGACTCGTTCCAAAAAGAATCAAGAACGAAAATGAATAGATGGCAAACTAAGTCTGTACACATAAAAATCATTGTCCTCTTGATTCCTCTTATTGTATCTTATCTAGGGTGTATGTATTCCTTAATTGATATAATGATTGCACTTTTAGATTTAGAAGACAAACAAGTCGTCGTCGGCGGCGGGATGAGCCACACACACGGTTGCATTATCGCCGGAATCAACATTCTGTTTTATGTGTTCGTTTATATGGTGTTCATGACGTTCGGTAAGCCTAATTTAAAATGGATGATGGATTGTCAAGTCAGCGGTTGAAATTTTATGTTTCTTTACTTTGGGTTGCAGTTCATAAGCCTCTATACCTATAGGCCGTCAACCGAAGTTACGAGAGTAACGAAATTCATTGGAATATTGTGCTTCCCTATTTTGAGTTTTTGTGGGGCAGAATTAAATAGGAATCGAGGATTGTATATTGGTGAGCCAGTTCCAGACTATGGTTATTTCACGTTCGTGATGGCAGCCTCACTTTGTATTGCTTATCATTTGTATCGATTTGAATCGACAACTCGTTTTCTTGTTGTGTTATCGACTTGTGTCATCCTCACCTTTTTGTATGGGAATTACTTTAACTCTAACGATGCCAAACACGAAGACGAGGATTCCCTAGGAGATCAAAGTGTACCATCATCCCTCTATGCTAACGATCACGAGTTTGATGGTATTTTAATGCAAGATAATTTTTAAAGTTAGAGTAGTTACCCTGGGCATAATGACTATTAAACTTATCACTGCCCAATTTTCAGTTGTTCATAATTTCATATGTGCTTGCTATATGATTTGAGTTATTCCTTTGCATATACATTATTACTAATAAAAAAAATTTAATTATTTATTTAATTTATTGGTATTAGAAATTTATTTTTTTAGCATTTGTGTTGTTCGAATTCGAATATCTATGCACTTGCAATAATGAGGAAAATTGTGATACTCATAATGATTATTCTTGTATTTAGTTACAATATATACTAATATATTAAAAGCCACGTATCACGTAAACCCCCCTCATTACGCCACATGACTCTTCTTTTCATTTGCGTGTTTCATTGCATGTCATGTACTTATAATAATAATAATAATAATAATAATAATAATAATAATAATAATAATAATAATAATAATAATAATAATAAATACTCATAAAATATAACCATGCAACATCTAATTCTAGAACTAAGTGACTTACCACCAAGCTATGTGAGTTTTTATGCAATCATTTGAATACAAAATATTAATGTATAACAAATGACAATATGAACAACAAATTTAATTACAAGAAAATTGAATCATAAAATTACAACGTCTCCGTGTATTAATGATCAATCCCAAGTTAAAATTCGAGGCATCCCTCGGGCCCACAAACTAGTTACCATTATAGATGGTGCAAACATAGTAGTATTTTGTTTGGGGGGTGTTAAATACCGCCATCCAAATTTATGGCCACCGCCATCATTTTAAGCAAATTGATAATCTTGCCCTTACTAACTTTTTATCCCATTTTCTTTATCTAACATTAGTTCATCAACCAAAACCGTGTCAACCACCACCTTTTAAACCGGACAACCACAACGACGGCTAAAGTCGCCGAGAAATGGATGGAGATCGAGGTGGCTCAACGGAAAACGAACAGGGGGTCAACCGGAGCTCCTTGGTAACTGATTTTGACCTCCGGTTACCAAGGTCAACCGGAGGTCAAACTCGGTAATCGTCCACGGTAACCGGAGGTCAAAACCGGTTGCCGTCCACGGTAACTAGAGGTCAAAACTTACCGTGGACGGTAACCGATTTCTAGCTTCGCTTATGCACGGTCAACGGAGGCCAAAATCGATTACCGTGGACGGTAATCGGTGCCAATTCAAAATTTACTCAATTTCAAAAAAAAAAAAAAAGTTGAAAAAAAAAATTGATGGCTGGTACCGGAGGTGAAAACCGGTTGCCCACTACCGATAACCGGATGCCAAATTCGGTTGACCGTCCCTGGTAACCAAAGGTGAAAACCGGTTGCCGGATGTGGTCAACAAGTTTTCGCCGCCGGTTACCGATGCTGGCAATCGATTTTTGCCTCCGGATACCAGCCACCTGAGTCCGCATCGCCTGAGGTCGCGCCGCCAATTGTGTTTCGGGGTTTTCTGATGTCCTGCGGGAGAGTTACAACTCCGAGACTGGAACCGGGCGCTTGTACCTGCAAAACAACGGAGACTCTAGGTGGTAGGAGCTCCGCCTCTGACGGTCAAGTTAGTACTTGTTTAAGGAGTAATTAATGCGGAAAAAAGGTGTAATGTGTTCTCTAGGTGAGAGTAATTAATTGGCGTAATCCCCTTTAATGAGGATTAATGATCATATTTATATGCCTTGGGATGCGTGCCAAATGCTAGGTTTAGGTTAACCTAGGGCTGACTGGACTTCTTCTAAGGATTGGGCCTAGGTGGCCGTTTTGCCTGGTTGGCATAGGGGAGGACACGTGTCGTGTCGTAACTGGTCCATGGTGGACAGATCAATGCTTGACACGTGGCAGGCTCTTATTGTCCCATGTGGCGGACACATGACGGAACCTGATTGGTCCACTTGTCAGATGGTGATTGGTAGGGGAAAATCCCCTAATCATTTGCCCCTCACAGGTGGCATGTGACTGTTCATATGTCAGTTGTGACAGGTGTCGGCCTGTAACAGGCGACGGTCTTCTACAAGTGTCGCTTGGTGAATGGCCGAAGGTTTTTCCCGCTCATTTTAAATTTTTTGGAAGTGACCCTTCGACTTCTCATTTTGCCTATATAGGGGCGTGTGGACTTCAAATTTATTTTCACACTTGAAAACTTTTGAAAGAGAACACTCGGATCCCTGAACTTGCTCTGACATTTTGGACATTAATAGCCTACCGCCTGATCTGTCAAGCCGACTGATTTTTCAGATCTCTGCTATTTTCAACGTCACTTCTTCAATCATTCAGGTAACCGTCTGTTGTCTTACTTTTCTTTTTTATTTCTTTTGAACTATGGTACCTTGAAAGCAACCGACACGACCTAGGGCAGTGATCAGTCGGTCACCGAGGACGGCTGAATCTAGGACTAGGAGTGCCGCCTGCCCCTTTTCGGACCAATCTTTGCCCTTCATACATAGCCCGACTGTCTCTGTGTCTGTGCAGAACACGATGGCTCGAACTAAGAGAACAGCCAGGATCTCCAACTATGATGGTTCCTTTTTTATGTGCCGGTCAGCGAGACACCTCACCAGGCGCCTGATGCTGAAATCAACCAAAGCGGCTCTGTCGCTGGGAGCTTAGAGGAGGGAGCCAAGGTGTTCCCTACCCATTTCACTGTGGACTTAGCTAGTCGACAGTTGACCACTACAGAAGGAGAGGGACCGACCCCTCTAAGAAAGACGAGGAGTCGGACTCTTCTGATAGTGAGTCCAGCTCTAGCTCTTCAAGCCATCACTCCCTGAACTCAGAGGAGAGGCACTCCCGAATGCATGAGTCAAGACTTTCTCATGCGGTTGAAAAGGGGGACGAATGGTCGGAACCATCCGCCTCTAATAGGGAGTTGAACACTGCTTATTTCTGCCACGTTCCAAAGGGCCTCATCAAGGCCATGAAGGAAAAATTGGATTCCTTTCTATCGGACCATGTGATGGGTCCAGATTTTGAGTTATTCGTGTCGAATGTTGAGGATGCAGTTGTCTGGCCTGAGACAATCAGTTATGGGGACGCCTGCTTTGGTTGCTATGAAGCGGCCATTAAGGCGGGGCTTCGATTTCCCTTGCATCCGGCTGTCCAAAAAATCCTCGATAGGTACGAGGTGGGGCTATGGCAGCTAGCCCCTAACTCTTGGTTTAACATCCTTTGCTATGTAGCCGGATGTGAAATGCACGGGGTTGAGCCAAATTTTGAGGCGTTCACCCATATGAATTACTTGAGTCGGACCCCCAAAACAAGCGGTACCGGATGGTACCAACTATCAAGCCACAAGGTCTATTTGATGACGAGAGGGAAAGAAAATAAGTGGAAGGACTGGAGGAACACCTTTTACCTTATCCAACCTCTGATCCTCTGTTGAACAAGCAGTACAACAGATGGAATAGGAATCCGCCACTCCTTGTAGGCGGTGCTGCCATGCCGCCTGTTCCCCGCAAAGCGAGGGAAGAGATCCTGGACCGAGGACTCTTCAAGGTGAAAACACAACTCAACCCTGCTAGCGGGGAAC